GAAATTGAGTTTCGATACCCTTTGTGGGCAATGCACAGCTCGCACATTTTGTAACTTTGTGACTTAATAACAAACAAAGTATTTTGCTTCAGAAAATACAAATCTTTTCATCTGACAAGAACTGCAGAGATTGTTTTAAGATAAGTTACATCGAAAACAGCAGGCTCACCGGTTCGAACAGACAGACCCTCAATCGAGATAACATTCAGTTCACGTAGACTTCTCTACACCTCCCAGTCAACTTATACTACCCGTAAATGTGTATTGGACTGAGCTCATTGGTTGTGACTCCTGGAGAAGTATTGGCTTAGCGGAGTGTTTGGCCACACGGAAGAGCGCTGTCTGAGAGAACAGGTGTGAGCGGGAGTTGTGGTGCGGAAAGACAAGAAGTGAAGATATACAAACTATCACGGTAGCTGTACATTACAAGCTTACTTTTTTTGGTCCTTTTTAGCTTACGAGGGCTCCACATTAACGTCTGGTGCAATGGGTTGTGGTGGCAGGAAATGGTGAACAGAAAGAAGAACTCTGAGGTTGTCTGTCTATCGTAGTGAATACAGGCCTGGAAACAAGAACACAAATGGAAACCCAGCTTAACGTCAAAGCAGCAAGAGAATAATTGCAAGCACTAAAGTGAATATTCTGAGGGCAAATCCTCGTACCCGTTCCTTCAGTGCTCTGATCTCTGAGTATCTTACATGCACGGCCCGATGTCGTGGAGTAACTTCACCAAAGTGGAGGTGGCACAACCACAAACATCTTCTGGTTCAATTAAAGGTTAGTGTACCGTATAAAAATTAATTATTTTTGTTTTGTGGAGCATGTTTAATAAACTTTGTTATGGCAGCTGAAGCTCGAGTGTGTTTCTATGAGCATCACACATAATACAGTGATATCGTTAGGTTAATTCCACATGTTGTTATTGTTTTCGGAAAGTTACTAACACTACCAGGTACACAAGAAACATCAATCACCTGTTATTAACTCATTTGCAGTGTTGCTGTTGTAATACTTTTAAGTAGAGTTATCGTATTTATAAGTTACTAAATATTAATCAAAATGCAAGGAAACTTAAGCATTTAATGATCGGATTTAGAATACATTCGTTGGATATCCGTTGTTAACGATAAGTTCGGCTGTAATATTTTCCAGCTATAAAGTAAAAACATCTCCCACATGCTTCATTAATTAATTGACGTTGAAGAAACATTGTTAAAATTTCGGACAAATTATACTCGCACGATTAAACAATAATATGAAACATTTTCGTGATGTTAGCATTAATCGTACATTATTCTTGTTTTCAAACTATAATGCGAGTAATTCTAACAAAACTCTTGTTATTTTTCCACTGTTACTGTTCTCTGACTTTTATTCCTAGCTAATGAAGCTTGCTATTCACTGATGAGCAAGATTTGTGAATAACTTTATGTTATTGGACTTGTTGATTATTATGAAGCTTATTATCTGTTTTTATATAAGTAAGCATTTCAGCTCAACGAAGAATCTCAGAAACAGTTAACAAGTGTTATGAAAGAAACAAAAAACAAATTGTATGGTTTATGGGATTGCGTGTATAAAAATGACATGTTTATTAGAAGACCACTCGAGCTTGTTGTCTTAAGTTTAAAAACATCTCTCGTGTTATCTAAGATTAGACTTGACTAACAGTAACATGACATCAATTCTTAACTTTATAACGAAATAATATTGGCTGTAAAATATTTCATTTACAGACTATATATTACCACATAAGTTATGATAAAGTGATTGTAATAGAGTTAATCTTTGTTATAATCTAAGCAGTAGTGATTTCTTTTCATTGTGCGCATGTGGTTTCAGTGGTTTAATTTAATGACAGTGTAATGCAACTGACATATAAAATCTGCCTACCTGTGTCGTGTTTAGTCTGGTTTAGTCCGTATTGGTTGACTCTCCTCAACACTTACTCCACTATTTAATGACCCTAAACGATATTTCTAGCCTTCATGATAAGAAACTCTTGCTAAGAAAAATTTTACTTTTTATATTTGACATTCATTTACATCTTGCATATTTCATTCACACAAATGGTATTGAAATCGGAAAGTGTAAAACCCGAACATTAGTGTTCGTACAACAACAGACAGTAATCCCACAAGTAGCTTGTTTCTACAGCTTGGAAGACGATGACAGCATTGAAGAGATGACTTAAGAACTTAAGCGTCACAAAAGAGGATCGCGTTATCTTCATTATGCAGTATACATTTGTATAAATCTCTTGGCGATTAATTGCTAAGAAAGGCATGCTCTGTAACACATATGTGTTATGACATCTGATTGGATTGTGATACATGTATGTGTTATGATACCTGATTTTTTTTATCAGAATTTGTTGTATTTAATAACACAAACTTCTTTTTTCTTGAAATTATGTCGGTAGCACTATAGTCTTGTCATTTATATTTTTTTTAAAGAAAAAAATAGGCTGGTTGCCAACTGTTGAAATGTTTATTGACAAAAATGTTTTTTTACATTCTGTGATATTACTTCGTAGTTATCCTGCTACGTACCTAAAGCAGTATATTTTTCTGGATCATGACATCAAAATGGATTATAATACAGCTGTTGAATTATATAGCCCTTATAATGAATCCATAACAGTCTATAGTTCTGTCATGAAAATTATCTCTTGGCACGCTTGTCTCTTCTTGACTCACACTTTACAATTGCGTTTGAAGCACTACTCTTGTTCTAGTTCTAACGTAGCCAGTCGATGGTGGCGCCGCTTTGCGATTACTTACCTAATTAAAGAGGTGGGTTTTGGGTAAATAGCCCTAGCTGAACGAATATTAGAAATTACGAGAAGTTAACTGGTATATACTAAAGACTCCAGAGAGAGGAAATAGTGAGTGTTTATTAAAAGTATTGAAGAGAGAAGATAGTGATTATCAAAGGTTTTGAACAGAAGGTAGTAGGTGACTTTTAGTGATTGTAGACAAAATATAGGGGTAATTATTAAAAGTTGTGAAGAGGAAAGACAGTGGTTGAACTTTAAAGGTTGTGGAGAGAAGAAAATGGGTGAGAGAAGATACTGAATAAATTTTAAAGTTTATTGAAATAAAATATAACAGTGAATGTTAAATATTGTAGTGTGAACGTAATTCATAATATTTTGAGTGTGAAGCTGTAGCTAGTATGATTAGTTACATGACCAGATTGGGCATAAGAAATAAATTTTAAAGTTTATTGAAATAAAATATAACAGTGAATGTTAAAGATTGTAGTGTGAACGTAATTCATAATACTTTTGAGTGTGAAACTGTAGCTAGTATGATTAGTTACATGATAAGATTAGACATAAGAAATAACATTGTATTATAGTTCATAGAGGATAGTTGAATTTGCACTTATGAACGGCGTGATGTATGTGTGGCTACTTCATTGATAGGTCATTTATAGCTCCAACCTATACAACATGGCGTTTTTGAAAGGTTAAATCAGACAGTTGATACCAGAGGAGGAAGAAAACGACAGCGTAGAAAAGTATATATGCATACTTTCAAACATAAGTAATACAGGAGCAAGCAAAAACGGCACCAACAGAGGGAGTGTAAAAGTAAATTAAAGGGGCATGTTTCGTTGATCTTTTTGATTAGTGCACTTCTACTTTATAAGCACTTTTCCCGTCTTTATAGGTTTCATAACCGACATTGGTCCACTTTATCCATTATTCTGTATCGAAGTCAAACATTAAAATTGCTGAAATATGGCATTGGGTAGAGTGATTAGCTTAGGACTGAACGGTCAAGCATGGGTATATAGTGCAGGCCATAAACGATTTTTTTTTTTTTACTTTCGTCTAGTTATTTTTACATGTACGCACGAAGTTACTTAAATGTAAGTCACTGCATTGACAGAAAGTGTAGAGATACTCTCTACTAGATACGTTGATAGTTAGTTATCTAGATGTATGAAGTTAAGACGTTTCTGAAAACTTTTCCAGCTCTCTGCTCCAGTAGCTCAGGGGTAAGCTTGAGGGTTTATAACACTAAAATTCGAGGTTTTGTCTCTGCGGTTGCATGCTATCATCGTAGAGTTGTGATTAGTATGATTAGTTACATGATAAGATTAAACCTTTTTGTGCAGCTTTGCTCTTAATAACAAACAACCGAACTCTTCTAATTAGCTCATATTGATAGTCAACGTTTCATACTTTAGCACAGATTGTGTGTCTACGTTTCTAAGAAATGTATATGACATTGTTGAGTATATATTTTGTTGTATGAAATACCAGTTCCCATGCCTTGCGTTGAAGTTAATGATGTTCGACAGTTAGTTTGGGGATCGTTTTTCATCCGTGCCATGCTTTTGCCGTGTTACAGTGTTACTGTCATTAATGTTATTTAGACGTACCTTAAAGTGTAATAAATGGGGTGGTGACATCAAGTTAAATTTCAGTAAAGTTTTGTTGTAGTCACTTCTAACGCTTTACTCCATTAACGTTGAGAGTTTGGTGTGTGAACCTGCAGTAAACTCCTGTTATAGTGTGTAAAAGTATAAAACTCAAGGCGTTTTCCTAAATCCAATTGCCGATATAGTTTTCATTCCGTATTTTAGTGTTTAAGTTTTGGGGAGAAATAGGCCCGAACTGTCATTATAACGTCATTTAACATCGTTTTTCGGCCTGTAATTAAAATTATAAGTAGATTTTAATTATCTAAAGCCCAATGATGGTATACTAATTTTCTTTATTTTGTTCCCGGTTTCTTAACTTTTATCTTGGAAAATAAACACCTGTTGGCCAGTCATTATTACTACTAGCAGAAACGCCGCCCTACGGGCAACTATTTGTGCTAGTAATTACTAATCATAGTATTCATACCTCATTGAAAAAAAATTTAGAAAAAGTAAACATTTCTAAAAAATGATTTTTTTTTCGTGGAAGTACTGCACGGGAAAAGTGTTCGGATTGTTCTCTTTAATTATACGCAACTCATTGCATCAAAATGATTCAATGTACAGAGCTCAAATTTTAATAAATTTTACTGATATAAACTGTAATGTTTTTATATATTGAAAGTGCTACTCCTTATTGAAAAAATAATAGTTTTTAAGAACTCCAGTTTCTCAGTACTACATTTAAAAATTACATCAATAAAGATATAATCAAACCCTCACGTACAGTCCTAGTGAAAGACGTGTTGTTGTTATTAGGAGAGTACTTTTATTGAAAATTGTTTTATTATAAAGAAATGGTTGTTGCACATACTACAGTTGTTTTTCTGATTGTCTGAATCTTGAATACCTAAAAGTGTGAATTATTTTTGTGGATTTTTGCTTGTGGTGCCACTCAATAGATGGCGTAAGAGTTTTGGTTACATACATAGATACTGACATACACGCTACGTCCAGTATAGTAAGAAGGTAAGACTTAGTATACTTACAAAAGTCACCGAAACTGTACTTTTTCAGTTATTTGACTACTTCGTCAAATTATCTTATGGTGTAGATTCTCAGTTGTTTCCCTGTATTTTAGATGTTAAAAAAATTGTTTAGTTTATTGAATAATCAAGTTTTGAATGTTACAGACGTTTACCCTATATCGACTACTTAAATGTCAAAACGTGGCAAACTTGTATAATGAGGTTTTAGTTCATCAGGTTTCACGATGCAAATGATCTTTGAGCACTCTTGATTGATCATGTTCTCCGTCAGAATGTTATCATCTCGTGCTGTATTTATTATTACAGGATGATAGCGTATTGACGACAGATTTTCCGATGTTAAAACAGTCT